AAATTAATAAAAAGATAGTTTGATAATAGATTTATTACTATTCTCAAATGGTTCCTTCAATCTTCAGATCTAAATCCTATAGAACACTTATAGAACGAAGTTAATCAACATCTCCACAACTTCCCTATATAAATTTCTGGCCAAGATGATCTCTGAAAAAAATTTTATAATATTTGAAACAGTATAGAGATTAATGTTTGCATCAAGTTAATTAAGTCTATACCAAAAAAAGTAAATTATGTATTGAAAGCTAGGTATAAATATACAAAATGGTAGTACAAACATACTTTATTTTTATATAAAAAAAAATTTAATATATTTTATTATTCTAATGATAAAAAAAAAAAAGAAATTTGTATTTTTTAATAAAATTTTTATAAATAAATAAAAATTATAATTAGTAATAATAATATTATAATAATCAAATCTATAAAGATGATCTGCAGACTTTGACTTTATTAAACAAATAGAATCTTAATCCTAATTAATAGATAAGTAATATATTATCCTTATAAATCATATCTAGAAACTTTCTATTATAGACAAGTGAGCCGGGTCGAGGAAATTTATATATGCAATTTTATTTATAATAGTTTATTTTGATTTAATAAATAAATGATATTAACCTGATTGAGAGAAAAAAAAAGATATCATAATAATCAAATAAAAATATAATGATAATAAAGCTTTTCAATAATACATTTAAATAAAATTTTATTTAAATTTTTATTTATTATATATAATGAGATATTTACAAATATTTAATTTTTTTTAAATGATCAGTTTCTTTTACTTATCACTGTATATTAAAATTTTATAACAAAATTTAATAATATATAGTTTTAATATAAATAAATATATATTTTTATTTTTTATAGAAAAAATAGATTTATAAATATTGGGATAAAAATAATGTCTATTGAATTATTTTTATAATATTGGACAAATTCATTGATAATTTTTTATATAATATATAATTGAACACAAATTGCAGAATATTATTTATATATATTTATATTCATTTAATATAAAATAAATATTGTTTATATCTTTACCTTAAGGATATTAGTTAAGATTAATATGTTAAAGCTCTATTGATATTATTATTTTATTTTAGAATAAGTTTTATTTTTAATTATACAATATTTTAAAAGAAAGTTTAAAAGTAAAAAACTGAATATGATATATATTTTTGATAAATAAAATAAACTACTATATAGAAAATTTTTAAGATTTAATTATTTATATGGGTAATTATTTTTGAAGGCAACGAAAATACTAGATATGATTTTTTCGAACCCAATATATTGTATATATAATAGAAATTTAGGAGCACCAGAAAATTTCCGGTCCGCCTTCGAAAATAATTACTCATATATAAATATATTATTATTATTGACCTGTAGGTCCATAGTATAGTGGTTAACACTCCACAGGTCAAATCACAAGATACCAGTTCAACTCCATGTGAGGGCAATTGAATAGAATTAATATGGTATTTGGTACCATAACCTGTATTAGCACTGTTTCTTATAAGAAGCCATATCATATGCTGATCCAGCAAGCGTTGAGATTGTGATTTCCAGAAAAGGTGTTGTGGCACGATGATCATCCAATTGGTGTTACAATGATCGCCGGAAGTTATAAGGTGTATGAGGTGTCCGCTTTCGGTAAAAATGGCTTGGTGATCATTTTCCTGTGATACCTGGTATCTCTTTCTACAAGTTTCCAGAAAGGCCTTATTCCAATCCAGTAATAAATCATTCCGACAGTTATCTATCCCGAAAAGGTAGCCAAAACAGCAGTAAGTATTGATAGCTGAAACAATCTATAGGCTGTAAGTCTGTGAGATAAGTTCCTTGAACGTTCTTGAGTAGCTCTAGGAAGATGGAAATTAAATGGTACATCCATTTGCAGGTAATCGGATCTAGAAGAATTTTCTCTGCAGTGGTTCTATTCGCCAAAAATAGGTACTACCTCTAGTTCTTTATATTTAAACTTCTCCTTAAAAATTCTACAGTGCCAAATAGAATATCACGATATAATAATAACATTAATGGGGCTTTGGCATGTTAGCTTCAGCACAACTCCTCTGGGGTGACGCTGACAGCAATAAGCCAATATGAAGTAAAATTGATATAGTCTAATAATACGTAGAATTGTTTATAAATAGTAGTTCCTATAATATATGAAATACATATGTGAATAAAATAATAAAGTATGTTAGGCAAGGCCCAGCTGGTTAAATATAAAAAAAATATTAATAATATTTTTTTTTTTAAATATCAGAACAGCTTTTAGTATTTTTATTATTTATAAAAGATTGTTATGTAGCAATATTACAAATTTAAAAACTAATATATATCTCTTTTTACTAAAAAGAGTTTAATGTAAGACATAACAAAAATGGTCCTGACCATTTCAGTATTATTCTATAAATCTACCTAAATACTAGTAAAATGTAATATTAAAACCTAGATTTAATACTTAGACAGGTGCCTAATATGAACTAGGAAAGATTAGAAATATCCAAACACATGAAAGTGTTGTAGCCAAGTATACAGGTTGGCCTCCAAGTCATAAATGGGATTAGGCACACTTGCTTTCCAAAGTTGGCTTGATGTACAGCAGATGGTGAAGTGAAGGAGAAGAGAGTTGATTATTTTTTTATATATGAAGGTACTGTAGCTACTTTTCACAGGTTGGTCTCCAAGTCATATAAAAAGTTTGGCATATCTATTTTCCAAGTGTGGCAGAAGTGTTCAATAGATAGAGTTGAATTGGAATTTTTTAAAAACATTGTTATCTAACCATGCATATAGACCTACATTGTCAAGAAGTAATCGAGAAACTTCTGTTATCAATACTAGCTTTGTTTGCGAGAGTAACTAGAATCCCTGATCGTTATATGTTATCTTACTAAGTATTCCAAACACCAGTATATCACTTGTAGAAATCTACACTAGTATTGGTTGCCATATTGCTGAATACAGTGGGGCACAACTTCCTAGGAGTTCAAATGACAATAGTTATACAGTGGCTTCTTAGATATATCTAGTCTAATCATTAACAAGTAAACAATGTTGGATATGGTAATAATAATCATGCTGATCTTTTGAAGGGGATAAACCATTTGTCCTTTTTCTAAAAAATCATAGAAATGAGAAACTTCTTAAGGCTAACAATATAAAAGAAGTTATTATTTTTTAATATGGTTCTTGAGAGAAGGGAGTTAACTGACCAGAGAGGTGATGAGATGGAAAGCAGCAACTTTTAAGAGAAAGAGAGACCTAGTGAGAAAAAACTTCAAAGGAAAGGAAAAAATCCAACTTTGGTAAGAAAAGGGAAAAAAAGAAGAGAAAGGGGTATATGTAAAAGATAAGTTTGTTAAAGAGAAGGGAAAAACAAAGAAAGAGGGAAGAAAAGAGTAATAAGAAAGAAAAAAAGTATTAGAGGAAGGGGAAAAGTAAAGAAAAAAAAGAAAACAACTTAAAAATTTCTTAAAAAGAAAATTTTTAAGCATAGGAAGGGGAGTAGGAATGAGTTTTTTTTATATAAATATATTATTTAATTTTTATCTTTTTTAAAATTACTTAAAAATATTTAAGAATCTTATTTTATAAACTTATTGTTTATAGATTATTTTAACTATTGATACTTATTGCTATTTTAATTATATTTTTAAAATAAGTAAATATCAAAGTAATTTATTACTATATTAAAATAAAATCATTTTAAAAAATTATAAAAAGAAATATTAAATATTATAAAAAAATAATTATTAAACTATTTTACTAAAAACAGATATTTTATATACTTTTTAACTTTTAGTAATTATTGTATTACTAATTAAATAATTATTATATTATAATATTTTTTTTTGAAAATCATAATCTTAATACTTGCTAAATTAATATATGAATTAATTTAATATAAGAAATAATGCTTAATAGATTATAATATCAAATATTATATTAATTTTTTAATTATCTTTACTTGGAATTAAATTGATATTTTATAATCTAACTTATAAAATATTAATTATTATTTTATAAATTTATAGATTATATTTTAATAAAATAATTTTTATTAAAAACTTTTTTTTATTAATTTATTAATTTATTAAAAATTTTAATTTATATTTAAAAATTGCTATTATATTTTTTATTTTATATTCAAATTCTGTAAAGCAAATAGCAATTTTAATATAATTTTATATTGATTTTTCTTTTGATATAAAAGATTTTAAAAAGAACAATATAATAAATTAAATTAATAATTTTAAAATTAATTTTAATAAAAATTCTTCTTTATATATAGTCGTATATGCATTGCAGTTTGCCTTAAAAAAAATTTTTTTTCTTCTTTATATTTAATAAATAAAAATTATAAAAACAATGTTTTTTGTAATTCATAATATAAAATTATTAATTTTTTTATCCTAGTACAGTATAATAAATTCAGTCCAAAAAGATGCTATATATTACCATAAATAGCGATGATTCGGATACATGTGACATCGATTCGTAGTTCTTTGTCAAGTAATAACGGTCCACTAAAAAAAAAAAACCAGGATTTATTTATACGGGTTATGTTTTCAATAAAGCATGCTTTCCAAATAAGTAAAATTGGCTGCAAGAGATCAGTGTACAAATCGAACTAGATGTTTTGCGTCACCGCGTAGGTTTTATCGTAGAGCAACGCGTGACATCCAGTCAATCGAAGAAAGTGAGTGGCGTAACAATCAAGAATTTGGGCATTGAAAAGGTTGAGAAGGGGTGTCGTACGTACGTACACACGTACTAATGTACACAGATATTCGACGCACTATACTATGATTGTACGTAGTAAAGGGACAAGTTTATTCTGAAACCATCAGTTTGGTATCACCTAATCGTAATTCTTATCGTGTTATCTGATCTTGTAAGCGTATATAAAGACCAGATTTTTTCCATTTTGATTTCTTTTGGGGGTTTTTTTTAACCTAATTTAACGAATTCATGGAGGAAGAAATATTACCGAATACTTCTGGGGAAGCATTGACGATTGCTCCAAATGTATATGACACTGCAAAACTCCAGGAGCATCTTAGTAAACTTCTCCCTTTGCTCTTGGATGTTGATAAGGCGGAATTAGAAGACTCAGTATGGTCCTCGGAGGAAAACATTAAAAAATTGGAACGCTTCGCTATTGAACCACAGTTTCCTAATTTATATGTTGTAAAAACCAAGAAAGAGACTGATAAGGAGAAAAAAGGTATTAAAATTCATTTGAGATTACAGCATAAAGAATCATCAACGTAAAAGTCGTGAATAAAGTCTCTTTTAAATAGAAATAAAGTATATCATAGTCTTGTTAAATGCTTGTTCATTAATATTTAGACGAACCGCTCTCGGAGCCACATTCGGATCCATCTTCTGAACCGTCTTCGGGACCGCAAGTTTACGAATATTCCCTGATCCAGGAACTCAATTATGATCCAAACAATGTTGCATGTGTCGCAGTCATTAAACAAGGGGCCACTTTAGATGCTAATCGCACCATTCAATCACAAATTCAAGTTGTTAATTTACCTGGCCCATCTACCAATGATACTGGAGCGGCTGATGTGAGTCCGTATGAAGCCTTATATTCTTACATTCACTCGGCTGTCACTCCTTATTTCGATGCCTATGTCATCGCGAAAGGCACAAATCACGAAGGTGTCCAAAGGAAGTTTGATGATTCTAAATCTAGTAAGCTACATAAACAAATAATTCAATGATAGTTTCCGCAGTGGAAAAAAAAATCATTATTGATGCATGTTTCCTTATCGTAAAAGGCATTTCTATGGCAAAGAAGAAGATTATCGAACTAGAATTAGCACTCCTCAATCTGCAACAAAATGTTGAAATTCCCGAAATAACTCTTAACATCCATCCCATCGTTCAAGACGTTATTGAGAAGGTGAGCGAGTTCTTCGATTGTTTTGTAATGATCTGTATTTTTACGACTTTAATGGGTAACCTACAAATATCCCTTTATACAACATAGTGTAAACGAGAAAATAAACGTGTTACCGTAGACATGATCGATACTTCAATTATCGATTCTGTATTCTTAAATAAACTTCAAGGGGATGTATATGGTTGGGTTAAAGAGATCCAAAAGGTTACAAAATTATCACGTGATCCATCGAATGGTACAGCAATCCAGGAAATAAACTTCTGGTTAGGAATGGAAACTGCCCTTGAAGATATTAACGAACGTCTTAAAAGTGATGAAATCGGTACGCAAATCTTATATTCAATTTTTAACTTGTATATATTTATTAATAAAATTCATTAACTAAAATTTCTTTTTTTTTTTTCAAATAGTTCTCACTATGGATATTCTCAAACATGCTAAACGTTATCTTGCCACAGTATCCTTTATGGCCGATACGGGGTTGAAGGTTGCTATGGAAAAAGGTAAAAATTGATCATAGTTACACTTCTTATTTATTTGGTTTGTGAAAAGTTACTTATAATTATTTACGATTATTATAGTACATAAATACAATCAACTGATGAAAGATTTTCCTCTTAACGAACTTTTATCTGCGCCTGATGTGACGAGAGTAAAAGAAGCCTTGCATGATATATTTGATCATTTTAAAAAAAAATTGAAATTATCGTATGTATATATGTGTAAAATTTTTACTTTACTGTTAGTACAGATATTAAATAATAATACTTTTTTTTAGTCCATACCCTATTAAGAACGCTCTTCTTCTCGTTGAAGCCATCTCGCGTGATTTAAATGAGCAATTACTTAAGGTGCTAGCCGTTCGTAGATTGATGTACATGGAATATGACGAATTCGAAAAAATAATGTCCGGCGCCGAAGAAGTGTTTGGAACTTGGGATGAAATGATTAAAGATTTTACGAACGTTGCACGCGAAGTTACGCGTAAACGTTCAGAAAAATTCATTCCAATTAAAATTACCCCAGCGCATGATAAACTTGAAGAACGTGTTGCTTTTGTGCGAAGTTTCAGAAAGCAACACGAACAACTCTACCAGACGATTATTAAAGTCATGTCACAACCTAAAGGAAATGCCAAGATTGTTGTTGAAGGGAGCGACAACGTAGTACAGCAAGAATCAGAGAATGTTAACATTAATGATATTAACTCTTTAGAGGAAGTAAAGTTGGCTTATGAGAGCGTTAAGGACATTGATGTGCTAGATGTATCGATTGAAGGTACTGAGATCTGGATGCAAGCAGAAAATGCTTATAATGAACGTGTTTCCAGAGTTGAAAATCAAATTATCGCGAGTTTAAGAGATCGTCTCGGTACTTGCAAGAATGCCAACGAAATGTTCCGCGTATTCTCTAAATTCAACGCATTGTTCGTTAGACCAAAGGTGTGTGTTGGTTTCTTTTTCTTGTATGGCAATATTATATTTTATTTCTTTCGATTAAATATTTTGTCATTTATGCTTATGAAAATTCCAGATTCGCGGTGCCATTCAAGAATATCAAACACAACTAATTGAATCAGTCAAAGATGATATTGCCAAGCTTCAAGATAAATTTACAAGGCAATATCTCAAATCCGAGGCTAATCACATGGCTCAGCTTCGTGACCTTCCAGCTATTTCTGGGGCTATGATTTGGGCTCGTCAGATCGAACGTCAATTGCAAACTTACATGAAGCGTGTTGAGGACGTTCTTGGTAAAGGTTGGGAAAAATATGCTGAGGGTCAAAAATTACAAAACGAAAGTAATAACTTTAAAAGAAAATTGGACACCAGACCCGTAAGTTAGGATCTTTGATATTTACATTTTTCCGTCTTTTTTAATACAACGAATTATATTAACTTTGAACCCTTCAATTTACACCTCAGATTTTTGAAGCTTGGCACAAGGACTTTACCGATCGCCGTGAACTTAATGTATCTGGCAGGTTATTTGAAATCACGAGAAACCGCGCTCAAGGAAACATTCTTCAATTAGGAGTAAATTTCGATCCTCAAATCATCACCTTATTCAAAGAAGTACGAAATTTGTTGTGGTTGAACCACCAGGTTCCACATGCGATTAGTAGCCTTGCAAAGGTTGCTAAACGTGTATATCCTTTTGCCGTTAGTCTTATGGAGACGGTCAGAACTTACGCCCAAACTGTACAAAAAGTAAAAAAACATCCCGATATTATAATGCTAGTGGCTAGTTATCGTAATGATGTGCAAGCAATGATTGCAAAGGGCATTAATTATGAATGGCGATACTTTGTAGAAACATATGATCGTAATTTCCGCCCAAATATGCATCTTCCTGGTGGCACACTGGATCCACCCGAGAATAAGCATGATAAGTTTGTCAGGGATTTTGCCAGCAGCGTGTCCAACTTTCAAGATAAAATAGATGCTTTAATCAATAGTTATGATGACATCACTCGTCATATTGAGGACCTAAAAACGTGTGCTTACAGGAAAGAAAAATTCAGTTCAAATCTAGATAAAATCCAGAAATTGGTAAGATTTTTCTTTTTTTTGAATGTTTCTTTTTTTGGACTAATTGATTGATTGATACTCACGTCTTTTTTTTTTATAAATTCAGATCGATCGTTTAAATTTCGAAGCGTATTCAAATCTCAACGTTTGGGTCTCACAACTTGACAAACGTGTTGAGGCGATACTAGTCTATCGTTTGCAACACGCCATCGCTTCGTGGACCACTGAATTTGTGGCATCCGGTGATGAATCAACAAACTCCGGCGAAGTTAGAGAAGCCGTTTCGGTTACTGGTAAACGTATCAATGCTAAGAAGAAGAGTCATAGAAAAGATTCTATGGACGGCGATAGACCGACGATCACCAAAGCGGAGAAGCCCAACCTTGAGGTCTCTATTCATGAAGTTCGGATTCGTAATCAAGTAATTTATTTGGATCCACCAATTGAGGAGGCCCGAACGAAGTGGTACAATCAATTACACAAATGGCTTTGTAAGTTTTGTCTGTTTTTAGATAATTTTTTTGAATTCTTGTAACTTCTTATTTCTTACCATTGTTTTCCTCAGCCGTCGTGTGCAATTTACCAAGACTCCAAAGCTCTCGATATGAGATTAACTTACAAGTTAGGAGTTCAGCTTCTCAGGAGACAACATACTCTGACCTATTGACCCAAATCCCCGATAACTCACTAGGAAAAGCTTATGATGTGATCGAAAACAAATTAAAGGAGGTCTCTCAGTACGTAAACATTTGGTTCCAATTCCAGTCACTTTGGGATCTCGAGGCCAGTCATGTATATTCTTTGCTTGGTGACGATCTCGCCAAGTGGAAACAGATTCTTGCCGAGATTAAGAAGTCTCGTTCTACATTCGACACGTCTGACACCGCACGTTCATTCGGTCCTATTGAGGTTGACTACGAACAAGCTCAAAGTAAAGTTAATGCAAAATATGATGCTTGGCAAAAAGAAATTCTCAACAAGTTCGGTGAAAAGCTCGGCGATTTTATGAAAGATTTTCACACAAATGTATCGCATGCTCGTAAGGACCTTGAAAACCGTTCCATGGAAAGCAATAGCACTAGTGAAGCAGTCGGGTTGATTACATTTGTACAAGAGCTTAAGCTCAAAGTTGCCAAATGGCACCAAGATGTTGAGATGTTCCGTGAAGGTCAGAAAACATTGGAGAAACAGAGATATCAATTTCCTAGCGATTGGCTCTACGTAGATCAGGTTGAAGGAGAATGGAGTGCATTCAATGAAATATTGAACAGAAAGGATAATGCAATTCAAGAACAAATTGGTATTACTTTATTTATTCTATTATTTTTTGCAATCCTTGAATTTATTTGTATTCTAAAATGTTTGCTGTACGATCATAGCCGAATTACAAAAGAAGATTGTTGATGAAGATACGATTGTGGAGAAGGAAATTGAAATAATTGTTACAGAATGGAATGACAAAAAACCAATTCAAGGGGATACCAAGCCTTCTATCGCGATAGACACTCTAAGTGACTTTAAAGGTCGCGTTACCAAGCTTAAGGAGAAATACGATACGGTTTGTCGTGCAAAAGAAGCTCTTAACATGGCTTTGGTCTCGGAGGCTCGTCTTGAACCTGTTCGTGAAGAACTCGAAGATCTCCAGTCGGTGTGGAACGCTCTTTCCGATGTCTGGAAATCTATTGATAAAATTAAAGAATTGTTATGGTCTTCGGTAGTTCCACGTAAAATTAGGCAACAATTGGATGGCCTTCTCACCACCACCAAAGAAATGCCGAATCGAATGCGAACTTATGCTGCTTTCGAATATGTTCAGGACACTATAAAACAGTATATTAAAATTAATCCAATACTCGTTGAACTTAAATCTGAGGCATTGAAAGAACGCCACTGGAAACAGTTGTTCAAAGTTCTTCCTATGCGTTCTCACTTCCTATTTTCTGAAATGACGGTTGGCCATATCTGGGATTTCGATCTGAAGAAAAATGAGCAAGTCATAAAAGACGTAGTAACACAAGCCTCTGGTGAAATGGCTCTGGAAGAATTCTTGAAACAGGTTTGCCAGTCTTTTTCTTTTTTGCACCTTATTTAAAATTTTGCATGTGACATTCTGAACATTTTCTTTACTGTGAAAATATTTAGGTCAAAGAAACGTGGACCAAATATGCCTTGGAACTTGTCCAGTATCAAAATAAATGCAAACTTATTAAAGGTTGGGACGAATTGTTCACCAAAAGCAGTGAAAATCTTAATTCATTAACTGCCATGAAGATGTCACCCTACTATAAAACTTTTGAGGAGGACGCATCAGTTTGGGAAGACAAGTTAAACCGCGTTCATGTCTTATTTGATGTGTGGATTGATGTTCAACGCCAATGGGTGTATTTGGAGGGTATTTTTAGCGGAAGTGCCGACATAAAACACCTACTTCCAGTTGAGACGCAACGTTTCCAAAATATTAACACGGACTTTGGGGCAGTAATGAAGAAAGTCAATAAAAATCCGTTTGTTCTTGATGTTTTAAATATTCCTAATGTTCAAAAGTCTTTGGAGCGTTTGGCCGATTCTTTATCCAAGATTCAGAAGGCTCTTGGTGAATATTTGGAACGTCAGCGTTCAACTTTTCCTCGATTCTACTTTGTTGGTGATGAAGACTTGCTTGAAATTATTGGTAACAGCAAAGATGTCGTTCGTATCCAAAAACACTTCAAGAAAATGTTTGCTGGTATTTCTAATATTGTTTTGAACGAGGACAACACCGTTATCCTTGGTATGTCTTCTCGTGAAGGTGAAGAGGTTCCTTTCAAGAAGCCAATTGTTCTAAAAGATTATTCGAGGTATGATCTCACATCGCTTGTTTAAGCCCATTATTAAAAAAAAAGCGAAGTTCTAATCAAATATTACTTCTACTTTATATACAGAATCAATGATTGGTATTTTTTTTTAGTTCTTTGTTCATCATCATCATTGTTATTATTATTGTGCGAAGTTTATTATTCACTTTTTTTTTTTTATTCACTGCAGGTTAACCGAGATCGAAACTCAAATGAGAGTATCTCTTGCTGAGTGTTTGTCTGAGGCGATGAAAAAATTGGGCGATTTTTACTTGAAAGAAGAATTAGATACAAATTTATTCCTGGAATGGATAGAAATATTCCCGGCCCAGTTGGTCGTAGTTGCCATACAAATTATTTGGACTCGATCTGTTAATGAAGCACTTGAAACCATAGAAAAAGATAAACTTCCTGAACTGACACCAATGAAAGGATCTCTTGATTACGTATTACGAGCATTAGATGTGTTAGCCGATACTGTGCTTCAGGATCTGCCTTCTACAAAACGTAAAAAGTGTGAACACTTGATTACCGAGCTTGTGCATCAACGTGATCTTCTTCGTCAATTAATCAGCAACAAGATTTCTTCAAATAAGAACTTTGAATGGCTTTATCAAATGAGATTCTACTTTGATGATAATGTGGAAGATCCATTAAAACGCCTGAACATTAAAATGGCCAATGCACAGTTCTACTATGGCTACGAATACCTTGGAGTTCCTGACCGTTTGGTACAGACTCCTCTTACTGATAGGTTGATTATTTGATCTATTTTCGATTTGGATTTAAGTTTGCGTATCCAAAATACTAATGCTTGTAATCCTTTCATAAAAATTTTCAGGTGTTACTGTACTCTCACTCAGGCACTTGAGGCAAGGTTAGGAGGTTCTCCATTTGGTCCGGCAGGTACGCTTTTCAAAATTCTATATTACACTTTATTGAAACAGAAAAAAAAACACGGGTTGACTTTTTCTTAACTCTTCTGCAATAGGTACTGGAAAAACGGAATCAGTCAAAGCCTTGGGTGTACAGGTACAGTTTTTCTTCTGAATATTATTATAGGAGAATTATTTAATTATATCTGGTACTAACTATCCATACAAACAGCTTGGTAGATTTGTCCTTGTATTCTGTTGTGACGAAAATTTCGATTTCCAAGCTATGGGCCGTATTTTCGTCGGTTTATGTCAAGTGGGTGCGTGGGGATGCTTTGACGAGTTTAACCGTCTCGAGGAAAGAATCTTGTCCGCTGTATCTCAACAGGTTCAAACCATACAACTTGGTCTCAAGGCTGCCGTAACTAACCCGAATGCAGAGGTCGAAATCGTCGGCAAGAGTCTAAAAGTAAACGCCAATACCGGTATGTAATACTTAGTTGTGATGTCTATATTCTCGGTGTATGGTTAACATCACGAAACTAACTCCTTCATTTGTTGTAATCAGGTATATTTATCACAATGAATCCTGGCTATGCTGGACGTTCAAATTTGCCTGACAATCTGAAGAAATTGTTCCGTAGCATGGCCATGACAAAACCTGATCGCGAGTTGATCGCACAAGTCATGTTGTACTCTCAAGGTTTCCGTACTGCCGAAATTCTCGCTTCAAAAGTGGTTCCATTGTTCAATCTTTGTGCCGAACAACTTTCTCCGCAAGCACATTACGACTTTGGTCTTCGAGCTCTAAAAAGTGTGCTTGTGAGTGCTGGTAACTTGAAACGGGAACGTCTTCAATCCCTTAGAGCTTCAAACGCCGATCAATCAGAGTATTCTAGAATTTCGGAGCCTATACCGGAACAAGAAATCTTAATTCAAAGTATTAGAGAAACCATCGTACCTAAGCTCGTTTCAGACGATATTCCTTTATTAACCAGGTAATATATATTTATATATAGATATTTCAGTTTAAAAGAAAATGTCTTGACACATAATTTTTTAAAATTTTAATTCTTCAGTTTGCTTGCCGATGTGTTCCCCGGTGTGGATTACGTTCCGGTGGATCTTGATAAACTTATGGCTGAAATTAAAAATGTGTGCGCCGAGAAACGCCTTCTTGATGGTGAAATGTGGATGGAGAAGGTGCTTCAACTCTATCAGATTCAAAACATACATCACGGTCTCATGATGGTTGGGCCTTCCGGTTCTGGTATGTTTTCCAATTTCGAAATTTCGGTTAGCCGTGAAAACCATTTAATTAACCACTTTGCCATTATATTTTCAGGTAAATCTCTTGCATGGCAAGTTCTTCTAGAAGCTTTAGAACGCGTGGGAGGAAAAGAAGGTGTATCATATGTTATAGATCCTAAGGCGGTTTCCAAAGATGCTCTTTATGGTACTTTGGACCCAACAACTCGTGAATGGACCGATGGTTTGTTCACTCATATTTTACGTAAAATCATTGATAATGTTCGTGGTGAAAGTCTTAAAAGGCATTGGATTATTTTCGATGGCGATGTTGATCCCGAGTGGGTAGAAAATTTGTGAGTACAAAATGATAATATTTTCAATTTTTCTTATTTGGCGAAGAGCATCAATAACACACAAATTTCAATAATAGGAACTCCGTTCTAGATGATAACAGATTATTAACATTACCGAATGGAGAGCGTCTTAGTCTTCCATCAAATGTTCGTATCATGTTTGAGGTGGAAAATCTGAAATACGCCACTTTGGCTACTGTTAGTCGTTGCGGTATGGTGTGGTTCTCTTCGGTATGTACCAATATATCTTAACGCATTTCATATGAGCTCGTTTATGGTTCATTAATAATTCGAGTTTTCGAATTCACAGGAAGTAGTTACACTTAAGATGATCTTTCATAATTATTTGGAAAATCTGAAAAATGTGCCTTTGGACGATAGCGAGGAAGAGGGGTCTCCTAATCGTAGAAGTGATGGATCTGATGATTCTGTCACTCCTCATCTTAGCACACAACGAGAGATCGCCAATATTCTTGGAAAACATATGACCGACGAAGGCTTTGTCACAAAATCTCTTTATTATGCCGAAAAATTGGATCACATCATGGATTTCACCCACATGCGTGTTCTGAATACCTTATTCTCTTTGTTGAACAAAACCGTACGTAATGTAATCGAATACAACAACAATCATCCAGACTTCCCAATGACCGCTGATCACTTGGAATCCTATGTCACAAAACGATTGGTACTCGGTGTTATCTGGAGTTTTTCGGGTGATGCGAAATTGGATTTACGTGCGAAACTTGGCGATTACGTTCGTGGAATTACAACTGTCGATTTACCACCTGCGCAAACCGGTTCATCTGTTATTGATTTTGATGTTCAAATTAACAATGGTGAATGGCTCTCATGGACTGGCAAGGTTCCAACCATAGAAATCGAAACTCATACCGTCTCCGAAGCTGATGTGGTTATCCCTACAGTGGACACTGTGCGTCACGAGGAAGTATTGTATTCTTGGCTTTCCGAGCACAAGCCCCTTATGCTCTGTGGTCCGCCAGGTTCCGGAAAAACAATGACATTATTTAGCGCACTAAGAAAATTGCCTGACATGGAAGTAGTAGGTCTCAATTTCTCCAGCGCGACCACCCCTGAATTAATTCTCAAGACGTTTGAACAGTATTGTGAATACCGTAAAACACCGAACGGGGTCATCCTATCACCTAATTCTATTGGCCGCTGGATCGTGGTATTTTGTGATGAAATCAATTTGCCTGCTAGTGATCAGTACGGTACCCAGCGGGTGATTTCATTTTTGAGGCAGTTGGTCGAGTATAATGGTTATTGGAGAACCAGTGATAAATCATGGGTTAAGCTTGAACGCATTCAATTTGTCGGCGCCTGTAATCCCCCGACTGATCCCGGTCGAGTTCCATTGACTCACAGATTCCTTCGTCACTCCCCGTTAGTCATGGTGGACTATCCTGGTGAAATCTCTCTTAACCAAATTTACGGTACCTTTTCTCGGGCTATGCTTAAGGTCGTTCCTGCGCTTAGGGCCTACGCCGAACCTCTTACCGCCGCAATGGTGGAACTTTATCTCATGTCACAAAAACATTTTACTCCCGACATTCAAGCTCATTACATATACTCCCCTCGTGAACTGACTCGGTGGATGAGGGGTATATTCGAGGCTATTAAACCCATGGAAACGCTCTCTCTTGAAGGATTGGTTCGCATTTGGGCGCACGAAGCTTTACGATTATTCCAGGATCGTCTTGTCACCGAAGAAGAAAGGAAATGGACTGATGATGCTATTGACTCAATTGCTATGAAGCATTTCCCCAACTTGAACCAAACAGAGGCACTAGGACGTCCAATTCTATTTTCCAATTGGTTAAGTAAAACATACATTCCGGTGGAACGTGAGGAATTACGTGAATATGTCAAGGCTCGTCTTAAAGTTTTTTATGAAGAAGAGTTGGATGTTCCGTTGGTATTGTTCAACGACGTGTTGGATCATGTACTTCGTATAGATCGTGTATTTAGGCAGATGCAAGGACATTTACTTTTGATCGGTGTCAGTGGTTCAGGAAAAACTACACTCTCTAGATTTGTTGCTTGGATGAATGGCTTAAACGTATTCCAAATAAAAGCTCACAATAAATACACCGGTGACGATTTCGATGAAGATCTAAGAACAGTTTTGAGGAGAGCTGGTTGCAAAGGAGAAAAGATTTGCTTTGTTATGGATGAGTCAAATGTTCTGGATTCCGGTTTTCTCGAACGCATGAACACTTTACTGGCCAATGCCGAGGTGCCAGGTCTATTTGAAGGTGATGAGTATAGTACCTTAATGACAAGTTGTAAAGAAGGTGCTCAAAGAGATGGATTGATGTTGGACTCTCCCGAAGAATTGTACAAATGGTTCACACAGCAAGTTATGAAGAATCTACATGTCGTGTTCACAATGAACCCACCCGAAGGTGGTCTTGCTTCCAGAGCGGCGACATCGCCAGCTTTATTCAACCGATGTGTTTTGGATTGGTTTGGAGATTGGTCCGATCAAGCTTTCTTCCAGGTCGGAATGGAATTCACTCAGAATTTGGATTTGGATCTACCTAGTTACAAGTAAGTTTTTTTTGTTAATTTCAATCATGTATTATAACTAACTTATGAACTTTTGTATTAGACCACCGTCACGATTCCCCGTTTCTTATCGCGGATTGCCACAAGATCCTCCACATCGCTACGCTATCGTCAACGCCTTTGTCTATGTGCATCAAAGTAATATCATTTACCCATTATTATTTCTGATTGCGCACTCACTCTGATCTCACAACTATATTTTATTCTTGTTCCTAGGTCTTTATGAGATCAACGCTAAATTAAGCAAAAGGCAGGGTCGTTACAATTATGTGACTCCTCGCCATTACCTAGACTTCATTAATCATTATGTGCGCTTATTTAATGAAAAACGTGAAGATTTGGAGGAACAACAACGTCACTTAAACGTCGGTTTGGATAAGTTAAGGGAGACGGTCGTCACCGTTGATGAACTCCGTAAAAGTCTAGACATTAAAAACGCGGAACTTACGGCTAAAGAAATTGAAGCTAACGAGAAATTAAAGAAGATGGTTGAGGATCAACGAGAAGCGGAACAGCAAAAAATTGCTTCCGTAGAATTACAGGAGTCTCTTAAAGTTCAAACAAAGATGATCGACGAACGTCGATCCGTCGTGTTAAAAGATTTGGCCAATGCAGAACCTGCAGTCGAGGAGGCCAAAAGGAGTGTGCAAGGCATCAACAAAAAACATCTCACGGAAGTGCGATCTATGGGTAATCCCCCCGAACCTGTCAAAATGGCAATGGTAATATGTTTAATTTGCTGTCTTCTTGTGGAGATTTGGCCATAACTTCATTATTAATTATTATTATTTCACGTATGACAATATCTAGAGTTCAGTGTGTGTATTACTGGGACATCCCGCAGATAGCTGGAAAATGGTTCAAGCTGCCATTAAAAGAGATGACTTTATTTCTAGCATTGTTCAATTTGATACTGATGCCCGAATGACAAAACCTATGCGAGAAAAAATGAAAAACGAGTACCTTAACAAACCGCAATATAATTACGAACTAGTCAACAGGGCCAGTAAGGCTTGTGGTCCATTGGTTAAATGGGTAATCGCGCAGGTTCAATACTCTGAAATTTTATACAAGGTTGGTCCGTTGCGTAATGAGGTGAACGAATTGCAGAGTCAACTAGAGGAAACTAAACTAAAGGCCACAAGTCTTCAAAGGATGATTGAGGATTTAGAAAATAAGATATCAGTTTATAAGGAAGAATATGGCATCTTAATTAGTCAAAAAGAAAACATCAAACAAGATATGTTGAGTGTCAAGAACAAAGTTGATCGAAGTGTAACTCTTCTATCGAGTTTGTCATCGGAAAAGGAAAGATGGGAATCGGGAAGTCAAACATTTGAAACACAAATGGGAACAATCGTTGGTGATGTCTTACTTTCAGCGGCGTTCCTTGCCTACGGTGGATATTTTGATCAACAGTATCGTGAGATTTTGCTAAATAAATGGATCAGCCATCTTATCGACGCCAACGTTCAATTTAAGAATGAAATATCATTAACAGAGTATCTTTCAACAGCCGATGATCGGTTATCTTGGCAAGCAAATTCACTTCCGGCAGATGACCTTTGTACCGAAAACGCGATTATGCTCAAACGATTCAACAGATACCCTCTGATTATTGATCCATCCGGTCAAGCAACTTCCTTCTTGCTGAACGAATACAAGAGCAAGAAGATCACCGTTACAAGTTTCTTGGACGATTCTTTCATTAAAAACTTGGAAAGTGCGCTTCGTTTCGGAAATCCATTACTCATTCAGGATGTCGAACACCTTGATCCCATTTTAAATGCTGTTCTCAACAAGGAATTGCGTCGTACCGGCGGTCGTGTTTTAATCCGATTGGGAGGTCAAGATATTGATTTCTCTCCTTCATTTACGCTATATCTCTCGACGCGTGATCCTTCTGTAAACTTCCCTCCCGATGTTTGTTCTCGTGTGACATTTGTGAACTTTACGGTAACCCGTGGTAGTTTACAAAGTCAATGTCTCAATCACGTGCTAAAGGTTGAGAGACCTGATACCGACAAAAAACGAACAGACCTTATTAAACTCCAAGGCGAATTCAAATTGAAATTACGTCATCTCGAGAAAGCACTTTTGCAAGCCTTGAACGAATCCAAAGGAAACATTTTGGATGATATCAAAGTTTTGGATACACTGGAAACATTAAAGAAAGAGGCTGCAGATGTCACCCGTCAAGTAGAAAAAACTGACAGCATTATGCAAGAGGTCGAGCAGGTGACAGCCCAATACACTCCACTGGCTCAAGCTTGTAGTTCAGTCTTCTTTGTGATGGAACAAATGAATCTATTACACCACTTCTATCAGTTCTCACTTGAATTCTTTTACGAAATATTCCAATATATTCTTCACGGTAATCCAAACCTCCAGGATATTACCGACGTTTCCGAAAGACTAAACATTCTTAAGCGTGATCTATTTTTCGTATCTTTCCGTCGGGTTTCACGAGCACTTTTACATGAAGACTATTTAACATTCGCGATATTGTTAGCACAAATAAACATTCGTAGTTCCACTAGTCAGGTGGATGATAATGAATTTGATTTCTTGTTGAGTGGAGGTGACGTTGTACCGGGAACAAAGGTTTCTGCAAGAGAATTAGGACTGAAAGATGGACTTTTTGACAGCGATCTACTTTGCAAGATAAAGGAATTCTCTACCCTTCCATGTTTCGCAGACCTTCCAAAAAATATTTCCAGCAACACCGAAGAATGGGTAGAGTTTATGGAATTAGATGCCGCCGAAAAGAACGTACCTGAATTCTGGGATAGTTCATTGCCCGGTATGTTTAATGCACTACAGTAACCTGTTGATATTATTGATATATTTATTTTTAAATGCTAAAATAATTTTTTGTTTATTAAAAACAGTCACTGTTATACAGTTGCGCAAAGCGTTGTTGATGAAATGCTTCCGTCCGGACAGGCTTATTCCAGCGGTATCGGAATTTGTTTCTAAGTCAATCGATCCGACTTTCTTGAATCAATCAGAATTAGACCTTAAGGCACTAGTTCTGGACGAAATTCAGCCAACCACACCCATCGCCCTATGTTCTGTACCTGGATATGATGCAAGTTATCGTGTTGAAAACTTGGTGGACGAAATTAATGTACGTTGCACATCTGTAGCCATGGGATCACAAGAAGGTTTTAACTTGGCCGACCAAGCTATTGCCGCATCAGTCAAGAATGGAAATTGGGTATTATTGAAAAACGTCCATCTTGCACCTTCCTGGCTCGGTCAATTAGAGAAGAAATTACATAGCATGAAGCCACATCAAAACTTTAGGTTATTCTTAACTATGGAAACAAATCCAAAGGTCCCAGTTAATCTGCTAAGAATGAGTCGAAGTATGAAATAATTAATTGATTATGCCTTTCAAGCGCGAAAAACAAATAACTCTTTTTTGGATAAACTAACACTTGACTATTCCTATCTTCATCTTTGAAAAGTCCTTCTCTTTGAACCTCCACCAGGTATAAAGGCTAATCTCTCAGACTCTCTCAAGAGCATCGCCCCTAGTCGTCTTACAAAGGGACCCACCGAACGTGTCCGTCTCTACTTCATGCTTTCTTGGTTACACGCCGTTGTTCAAGAACGTCTACGTTATGTACCTCTGGGTTGGACAAAGATCTATGAGTTTAACGACTCCGATCAAGACTTTGCAATTAACACCATTGACGCATGGTTAGATTCAGTTGCTCAGGGCAGGTCCAATATTGCTCCCGATAAAATTCCATGGGAGGCCATTCGTACATTAATCTGTGTGGCGGGATACGGAGGTCGTATCGACAACGAATTCGATAAACGTCTCCTAGAATCATTTGTGAATGAATTATTCACTCCCGCTGCATATGATTTGGATTTCCCTCTTGTCGACTCCGACTCTAGTAATCTGGCTATACCCGAGGGGAATAAAATGAATAACTTTATGGATTGGGTCAATAACTTACCAGAACGTGAACCTCCTATATGGTTGGGTCTGCCAAGTAACGCAGAAAAGGTCTTGGCTACGTCAAAAGGTATAATGATACTTCTATTCCTTTAATCGTATGTATAATGTTATTAATCATTATTGGTGCCCTAGGTTACGCGATGCTTGTAAAAATCAGAAAAATGAAGAGTTTGGCCGATGATGACGAAACCGAATATTCTCAAGAATCAGGAAAACAATCCTCTACACAGCCAGCATGGATGCGTTCCTTGTGTGTATTATTTGTTAGGGTGTTATATACCTAAAATTTTCATGCTAATATTCCTCCCATTTAATTATATAGATATTCTACTGTTGACAACTGGCTAAAGGCCTTGCCAGAGGTGTGTTTCTTGTTTTTTTTTTTTCACTTGATTTATCTTTTTTAACTAATCTTTTGAAATTCTAGAAAATACCACACATGAACCGCACGCCGGAGAGTATCAAAAATCCCCTGTTCCGATTCTTTGATCGTGAAAATTCAATTGGTCGTAGTCTGCTCAAGAAGATTCGCCAGGATTTGGAAGACATAAAGAAAGTTTGCGATGGTGAACTCAAACAAACCAACCATTTGCGTATGTTACTTAACTGCTTGACCAAAGGTCTGTATATTTAATATATTCAAACTTACTTTCTAATTGCTAGAATTTGTTTGTAACAAATAATTTCTAATCCCAAATCGTTTATTAAAGGTATTATTCCTGATCATTGGAAGAAGTATAAGATCCCTAAAACAGTGTCCCTTAATCATTGGGTCGCCGACTTTAAGAGTCGCTTGCAGCAAATTGAAGGCATCACTAGGGAAAACGATTTTTCAAACATTCAGGTCTGGGTTGGTGGACTTTTCATGCCAGAAGCGTATGTCACTGCCACACGCCAGGCGGTAGCTCAAGCACATAAATGGTCGCTGGAAGAACTGTCTTTGGAAATCGATTTAAATAAATACGGTGATTCCGATTCTTTCACCATTTCCGGTAATTATGACAATCACAAAATTTTACTACTTTTTATAACATAACTAATTTTTTCTATGTTCTTACCGTTATCAGGACTTAAGCTAGCAGGTTTGTACTAATGTGTTACCTTTCTTGGCCTGCTCGATGAATTATTACTTGACTTAAATTTTATATGTCAAATATTTTTAGGCGCACAAATGAAAAACAAAGAAGTTCAACTCGATATAAACCCATTAAACAAACTAGAATTATCACAATTGAGATGGGTCCTTAAATCAAAGTGAGTTGTTTTTGCTGTTTTTACGTGATGGCATTTTAAAATCGTATCTTAATTGATATTGTTGGGTTTACAATAGTACTTCTCCTGTCAGCGAGACAACTATAAATCTTCCGGTTTACCTTAATGAAGATCGAAGTGACCTGCTCTTTATTATTAATGCAAACGCGAAAGAGTCGGAAAAAAATAGAATCATTCAACGTGGTGTAGCAATTATTCTTTAATGAATATTATATCCTGTCTTATACAATCTTATTGTTTTCAAACTTTGTATAAATTATTATTATATTTTAAATAGTTATTTTCAATATTTGACGTTCTTGTATTTATTTATTTATAAAGTATAATAAAGAAATTGAAATTTAAATTAAAGTTTTGTTTTTTTTATAAATACTTTATAATCGTTATATACTGTATATACAGTATATACAGTATGAGTCATATATTTTTGGAAATTTTTTAATTTTGTATTTTATCTTATAATTAAATAAAAAAATCATTAAATTTTATTTAAATATATTTTAGAACTTAAGAATAAAATGATAAATTTTATTAAAAAATAATTATTTTTTAAAATTTTAGATGATATATAAAAATCTAAAAAAAAATTTATTAAGTTTTTTATAAATAAAGCTTAAACAAAAATCTTTTAAAAAATTTAAAGAAAATAAATTTTAATTTTTATATAAAACAAATGTTTTCATGAAATAATAAAAAAAAACTTAACTTTTTTTATATTTAAAAATATTTTTTATATTAAATTTTATATTAAGAAAATCAAAAAATTTATGTTCAAAAAATGTTTTAAAAATTTTTTATTAAGATATTTTATAAGATAAACTTAAGTAAACTTTTTTTTTAGATTATAAACAAATGATTTATAAATTTGATATAAAATAGATAATTTTTCATTGTATAATAAACAAAATCAAATTTTAAAATATTATATTTTTATATTAACTCATATATAAAACTTTAGCAAATTTGTTCTATCAATTTTTGTTAGTCTATATTAAAATAAATTTTAAATATAAAAACAATATTAAAT